ATTTTGAACTCTAATGACATTGCCTCGGATTAGAATATGTGAATTTGAAAAAAAAAAAAAAAAACATTTATTTGTTGGAGTGGGTAAGCTTTATTTTTTCTAAATTCCTTTTTTGTGAATTAATATATTTAATTATTTCAAGTGATATTTATTTGTACTCTTTGAAAAGTTATGAGACTCTTTTAATTTTTGTTTGTTTTAGTTGTTTTATTGCATTCTTTTATTTTTGCTTACTTTAATGAAGGCAAATTCATCATTTAATGGCTAAAATGGATTGAAGGACGAGTTATGCTATTTAAATTACATGTTTATCATACTTATGATTGATGATAAATTTGTTACATATTTTCAATTGAAGCTATTATATATTACCTTAATAATACATGTAAAATTAGGATAGAATCAAACAGTCAAAGCGATTATATATTACTCGATATCGACCTAGTTAATTTGGACTGACCAACTTACCAAAATAATCCAACATCGTTTCCACCTATCCAAGCATTATAAGAAAGTTTCTTGTAAACTAGTGATTCAGTTACTATATTTCTATACGTGATTCTTGAAGTTATTTTTCTTATTAGTAAAACTTACTTTTATTTTTTAACTTATTTTATAGAATTGGATTCCTTGAGAATCTACCATCTAAAATAGCGACTTTGAATAGAACAACAAATGCTTAGAAAAACAACTTTTACACGTGTGATACTAGATTGTGATTTTATTTGTTATTTTTTTATGAATGAATTACTGTTAGTTTTTTTCTTTGCTTTAAGATGGGGGGAAAAATAAAAAATAACAAAATTCATAGAACCAAAAATTATTATTGACAAAATTAACTAATTTTGCAAAGATCTTTCATATATCTTTACAAGAATCAAATAAAAAATTCCAGCAAACAAAAAGAAGAAAAGTAGCACCAAAATTAAAAAATGTATACTTGTAAGTTTATATACTAATCAAAAGCTATTCAAACACCTAATTTAAGTACTATAAAATAAAGATTAATTCATTTCTGACAGAAAATGAAAAGGAGGAAAAAGAAAAGAAAAGAAAGAAAAGGATTTGAACTCTTAAAGCTTAGGCTAAGACATTAAAGAATGATGAAGCGGAAACAACCAAACTAAAAATAATTGAAAAAGTGGCACGTGTGGTATAAGCTCCATTGGTTGCATGAGGTGGTGCTGGTGTTCCGGCATGGCCAGAGGGGATTTCCGGTGTTCCAACACGGCCAGAGGGGGCTACATGTGGCTTTGTTGGGGTGGGAACATCTGGAGACTTTTGAGGTGGAGCAGCTATTGATGGAGTCTTAACTGCAAGAGGTAGAAGAATTGTTACTTGACATAGCAAATGTAAATCATTTTGATGCCTCGATTTAGTAATTAAAACTTAAAATACTGGGAAATAATAAAAGTTAAAAATACTAGCTTCATTATTCGTTTCTTTCTGATCAATGTCTCAGCAAGTTATGGTATATCTAATGTACGAAAAAGTAAAATTGAACCGATATAATTTCGATCGAAAAATATAACAAATTAAGCATCATTTCCGATAAACTCCATGTGTTGTTTTTGTTTATTGAAACCTATTCAACTCGTGCCACTTTATGTCAAATTGACAATGATGGATATTGGATACCCTTTTATTAAGAACAATGCTATTTATAGTTAGGGATTATAGTAGCCAAAATTAATGACACATTGAACTAGAATTATTCACATTAATATGTGTGTAGAGAGAGACCTTTGCAGCCAGTAAGCTTAAAAGAAGAGAGACCACATGCAGAAGGCAATTTCATGGCCATAGTCATGTTGAAATCAATACCCAAAATGACACCGATCTTTAGGGCTTTACATACGCAGTCGGAATTCTTGTACACCGCCATCTTGAATCCCGAACAACACGACATATCGGGCTTCAATTCGATCCCACCATTGCCCAAAAATGTAATGCAATCCACCATATTGAACATCAGGCTGGTGCAGTCCACACTCGTGGCTGGGGCCGGAGCTTTTGTTGGTGGTTGCAGATGCACCGGCGTGCTACCTTGATTGTGCTCCGTGCAGCCACTTGCCACAGCAACCAAAATACATAATGCTGTCACTAGAGTCTTCATGTTCTCTCAAGTTAAACCAAAATGGGGTGAAGGAGAAACTGACTCCTAATCTTGATATTGAATCCTAGGTTCTTTTCGAGTATTACTAGAATATTTATGTTGATGTTTGTTTAAAGAATCTGTGAACTGATGGATTTAGTTTTATCAGTATTTTTCATGGGATATGTATGTGTTATTATATGTACAAAGTAATGTACATCCATTAATTATGATAAATATAATCTCCATATAACAAAACGGAAAAGAAAAAAAGCACTCCACATTTTTCAGGATTCTGATAACCCAAGGAAGTCGTAAGCAAATAATAATATCTAATCACAAACAAGGTTTTATAATGAATATTTAATTTGAGTATCATCTTATGAAATGGATAATTATCCTACCATATTGTAAATTAATTTCATTTTCTGCTACCTAAGTCGGTGCAATCCATATATAGTTTTGAGGGGAAAAAGAAAAGAGAAACAGTTCGATTCTAAGTCGAAGAGCACCATTATAACGAAGACAGATTAGTTCATACCAGCCCAACAATTGAAATAAAACTTCTTTCTATCGGTCTGGAGTATGCAACATAGGTTGCAAGCATAACTTTGATTTTTCAAGTGACTATAAGCTTTGATAACAGAGAAAATAATTCAAATTAACTTTGCTTTTTCATAAGATTTACAATTACTATTCATTCATTTATCTACCTCTCATTTCAGGGCCGGCCTCGAGAATTTAGAGGCCCTAGACATTTAATTATTATGTGGCACGTCAATACAATATTTATTTTTCAAGTGCAACAATATGTAAATAATTAAATAATTAGTAAGCATTAATTTGATTTTAAACTCAATTTACATGCTCTGACATAATGAACGAATCCGAAAAATACCATTTTGTTTTTCTTTGAAAAAGTTATAATTCAAAATGTTTTTCGTTTGGCACGATTTTCTAATGATTTTGACATTTTGTTATTCTAAAGTCTCATGTTTTGTACAAAATAAGAACCCTACCTAGCATGGCCTCACTACCAAATTTGAAATTACCAATGTGAGATGCAATATGCTTAATTGAAATTTTGCCCAATTCCTTCCACACAAACAATAAAACACTACCACTACAACCCTCTTTATGTGCTACTGTGTAGTCTGGGACTTGGGTGAACTCTTAGTCTATTTTCTTTCTTATCATTTCTCATATCCTCACGTCATATAAAAAGGAATGAAATAATGAGTGCCAAAAAAATCATATGATTTAGAGGTTTCCCTTGAAAAATCAACGCCACATTTGGCATTATGAAAATCAACGACATATTCGGCATGGGTAATTGGCACAAAACGTCCTTACCTTTCAAGTCTGTTGTGGAAAACGTCCCTACCTTTCATTTTTTGGCATTTTTGCCCTCATTTCAACCTTTCTTTGCGCTGGACGTTCTTCCGTCCATATTCCGTCAGTTTTTCCGTTAATTAAAGGGTAATTGGCACAACATGTCCCTACCTTTCAAGTCTATTGTGGAAAACGTCCCTACCTTTCATTTTTTTGCATTTTTGCCCTCATTTCAACCTTTGCGCTGGACGTCCTTCCGTCCATATTCCGTCAGTTTTTTCATTAATTAAATACAAAAATGCATTTTTCTTTCCATAAACAAGGGTAAAATTGTCCTCACCCACTTCACCCCTTTTTCTCGCCATCAACTTAGTCCATAAGTAACAATAGCAGCAACATGAATTTGAAAATACTTTAAATGATTAAGTTAAATAAAGAAAAAATATCGTGAACACATTATATTTCACAATTCCACAACTACTGTTGCTGTCATCTTGTGTCACTAGAAAATTTTAGAAAGACGTATTAAATGGGTAATCAATTTATAATAAGCCAAAATGGTGAATGGCTCTTTTTGGCTCAATGGAGAAGATGAATGGCTCATTTTAAATTGACTCATTATAAATTGACTACCCATTTAATATGTCTTTCTAAATTTTTCCAGTGACGTAAGATGACAGCAACAGTAGTTGTGGAATTGTGAAATATAATGTGTTCACGATATTTTTTCTTTATTTAACTTAATCATTTAAAGTATTTTCAAATTCATGTTGCTGCTACTGTTACTTATGGACTAAGTTAATGGCGGGAAAAAGGGGTGAAGTGGGTGAGGACAATTTTACATTTGTTTATGGAAAGAAAAAGGTATTTTTGTATTTAATTAACGAAAAAATTGACGGAATATGGACGGAAGGACGTCCAGCGCAAAGAAAGGTTGAAATGAGGGCAAAAATGTCAAAAAATAAAAGGTAGGGACGTTTTCCACAATAGACTTGAAAGGTAGGGACGTTTTGTGCTAATTACCCGAATGTTTAACGGAAAAACTGACGGAATATGGACGGAAGGACGTCCAGCGCAAACAAAGGTTGAAATGAGAGTAAAAATGCCAAAAAATGAAAGGTAGGGACGTTTTCCACAATAGACTTGAAAGGTAGGGACGTTTTGTGCCAATTACCCTATTCGGCATCAATGAGGTGTAAACTTGATTTGACTAAGACATTGTCAATTTAAACTCTTACTTGCAGGCCTCAATTCAATGGCCAGATATAAAGCCTCAACACGACTATAAATGAAAATAAAAGCAGGGTATATCACATTTTTCATCCGCGTGGAACTTATGCTACTACAAATAAATAGAGGCCAAAAGGAGAAGAATAAGAGGCTTGTTTGGCACATATTTTTCCAAGTGGAAAATATTTATTATTATTATTTTTTTTTTTTTTTTTTTTTTGTAGTCAATAGAATGTGATGTTGAAAATGATTTTTGGGGAAAAATATGTGCCAAACAAGGCTTACATTCCAAAAATAAAAAAAAAATGGTAACTATACAATTATGCAAAGCAAAGGCAATAGCTATTGATTGCTTCCACTGCAATATGACCAATACATGTGATGCAACAAATTAATATCCCAACTCCCACAAATGAATATACGAAGCTATCAATGACAATAGAAAGGGAGAGATAACTATAAGCATAAGAAGAAGATGAAGAGGCCGAACCTGTGGTTGGGGTAATTGAATACCTAGCCGGAACTTTTGCAGCTTGCTGATAGACTAGAACTAGTAGTTTTTAGGGATTTTCAGATTGGTATTGTTCTCTACTTCTTCAAGTTTATCACGTACGGCTCTTGATAAAAAGGATGGTAGAATTTCTTGGGGTTGGAAAGGAATGGAAAAGAAGGTAGTTCACCCCCCACCCCCCATCTCTTAAGGAATGGGTGGTTTTGGGCTTTTTTTAGAGGCCTCTTAATAATTAGAGGCCCAAGGCAATGGCCTTACTTGCCTTGGGCCAAGGTTGGCCCTGTCTCATTTCTACTAACTCATAATTTTAGCAATAGATTATTAGCATAAAATGTCCCTACGTTTAGTGTTCAGTGTGCAAAATGTCCATACGTTTCAAATTTTCACCATTGTTTCCACATTTCATTGTGGAAATCATCATTTCCATCCAATTTCCCACCAAAAAGTTGTGAAATTACTAACATACACTCATATTTTAATAAAACAAAAAGAAAATAAAATAAAAAAGAAGAACTAATTGCAATCAAACTCCAAAGTTTATTCAAAAAAATAAAAATGAATCCCAAATAAATTATTAAAAAATCAAAAAAAGAAAAATAAAATTAAAAACGAAATCATAGTCTTCTTCCTCATTCCCCTCTCCCGACCCCCATCCATACCCATCAAATTGCAAATCAAACCAAAAATCACCACCACAAATCGCCATCACCATAGATGGCAAAACCCATAAACATCTCTCTCTCTTTCTCTCCATGAATCAAAAATTCTTTCCACAGTTCTTCAAATTTCGATGGTACACTCTCCAATTTCACCGCTTTCCAAAAGCATCAAACTCATAAATATCAACCCATCGTTCTTGAGAAAGTTGAATAAGTCCTAATTCGATGACAATTGTGCTACTGTAATAAGCTTGTAAACAGGGTGAAAAAAGTCCACGTGGCATGTTGACTGCTTTATTGAAACAATACAATACAATACAATAATGTTGTTATGGATTGAAAATGCCACAATCCTTCTCTCTCCACTTCACGTTTAATTGAAAATTCCCTCTTCTCTCCCACTTTACATTTTAATCAAAAAAGCCACAAAAGAGCATAAACCATTAACTTCATCTTCAGTCGCTACACCGTATTTTGCTTTTAATTATTGCCGCGCACAACCCACCATCTCTGGTCGTCAGAAAAAAGGGCAGAAATCCATTTTTGGAAAAATCTTCTCTCTCCCACAATTGGGAAAAAAATCTTGAAATTCCCAAAAATGAAATCCTCCATCTCCAATCACTTTTGCTAAAGGTCACCGTTGCACGACCAACAATCTCCTATCATCGTTAAACTATCGAACTTCACAACCATTGCCTAAGAATTTTTCCCCTATGAGACCCGTTGGCATGTCAATGCCGACTTCTCGCAAAATCATCACAAACATCAATCAATTTCCATTTGCCGGCTGTACTTAAGTAGATTTTTCTTCTATTTCATCTATTATGGCTTCCATCGACACTTTGTGATTTGATATATGGTCCTCTACAAATTACTGTACCTCCCTTTTTGTTGTGATTTTGTATACTTGATTTTCAAAAATTCATTTCGATTAGTTTATTCGGGTTGGGTATTCCAGTCAATTTTGATTTGTGTACTCCATTGAGTTGATACATAACTAAGTTCACATTTTTTTGTGGTGGTTTATTTCCATCATAGAATGCCCGGGATGAACTCTGGAATCTATCATGGTTGTACAGTATGTTGGTAAATTTAATTGGTAGTGTATGGAGTGAAATTCGGTTCTCATATACCGTATATGTGATTTAGACACCAGATTCACGCTTACCGTATTTGGCAATTGCTTACCGTATTTTGGCAATTCAATTCACCGTATTTATCAGCTTACCGTATATGCCAGGCAGCTTATCGTATTTGCACCTTATCGTATTTGTAGCTTACCGTATATG